TGAAGCTTACCAGTCTAAATGGTTCAGATGTCCAGGAGGGCAGCTCTCTGTGTTCTGATGAATTTTCACATAGAAACCAGAGTACAGCAATGATTCAGATTGCATAATGGTAGAAATTGTGCATTCATGGTTTAGAGACAAACATATGGAACCGAGACAAACAGCAAATAAGCTCTCAGAAGTCAACATTATCTGGGTGTTTCAATCTGACAAATATGTCACACTGCATGCAAAACTTTTAAAAATAGAAACTGTTACCTTGGCTTTTTCTCACAACCCTCTCAAACAGTTCTTCACGTGTGTGAGAATTTTTACACTTAGAAAATGCTCAAAAGTGAATTTTCAGAAATGGAAAAATATGGAAGGTGCATTTTCAATATAGCATGTTTCATTGTTTGTGTAGCCTAAGAAAATGAAAGAACGTATCTTTTTGTGTTAGAAAGAAAATGGGAAAAAAGAAAAAGAAAATGGACCTTTCAAAATCTAGCTCCTTCAGAAGAAGATGAATTTTTAAATGATCAAACTCTGTCTAAAGGGAAAAATAAAAATTTCATGCAATTAGAAAATAGTTTAAATTAGTACCCAAGAAGGTGCATTTGTAACACTTCATGATTTTGTCAATACCCAGAGACAATATTCCAAATCAGGGCTTTCTCTTTTTTTTCTTTCTCTGCCCCAAAATCTACATTTTGTCTAGCAATAAACTCAAAATAGGGGCTTGGTTCAGGTCAGAGAGACTGATCAACATACTTAAGACATTGGTAGAAATGGCCTTCCTGAGCCCTTATGTGGAATAGGAGGTCTATGCTAGACAGAGCTCAAAAGAGGACAGTTTGTGTCTCACAGTCCAAATTCGGTTGCTGTATTTTTGAAGCTTCTAAAGGTTAACTACATGCTGTAATACACTATAGAGAGACAAGATGCTGAATTTTACTGCGCCAGTCAAGAGGCGGGCTTGAATCTGCTATTTAGGACTGAGAGAGACAGTACAATTTACATGTGTGAGAATGTGAGAATAATTTCACCTTCTGTTGTTTTTAAAACCACCTTGGGCCATGATTTTGAAATTGAGAAACAAGATCTCCTGGGGTTCCCATGGCAACATTAACTTATCTAACTTCCCTTGTTGTCTGCAATACTTCCATTACTAATTTGGCTTGTAAATATACATTTTAATTATCAAAGACAACCAAGTTAAGAGTCTCGGGTAAATTTCAACTTTTACATTTACTGACATGCATGTTTAAACAAACCTGCATACTGTACTTCTGGAGACTTGCTACCAAGGCAAGTGTGTACAAAAACCTTTCTGTGGTCTTCCTTGCTCCTCATCTCTGCATGCCATTCTTTATTTATTTCTTTATTATTTTTAAAAAATATATTTTATTGATTTTTTACAGAGAGGAGGAGAGAGCGATAGAGAGCTAGAAACGTCGATGAGAGAGAAACATCGACCAGCTGCCTCCTGCATACCCCCTACCGGGAATGTGCCTGCAACCAAGGTACATGCCCTTGACCGGAATCGAACCTGGGACCTTTCAGTCCGCAGACCGATGCTCTACCACTGAGCCAAACCGGTTTCGGCTGCATGCCATTCTTTAGATGACCCCTCAACCAGTCTTTCCAGATACATTTATAACATGCCATGACTTGGATAAAACAGAAACAAACAAACCTCAGATGGCTCCAGTCCAGGGACTAGACCCTGATGTGGCCTCCATTCTAGACTATACAATGGCCCTCTCCCTATCTTTTCTCCACTATTTGTCATCATACATGTCCTGCACCAAATACATTTTCTCACCATCTTGAGAGCATACATTCAAGGACCCCCTCCCAGAACCCTGACTCTTCCCCCTTCCTTCCCACAGAGATCTTTCTTTCAGAACCACTATTACAGCTGTGACCATCACCATGTGGCACACTGTTTGTGACTGGACAGCATCCCTCCCCTTTATTTATTTATTCATGTAAAATTAACCTTTTAAAAAAATTCTTTATTGTTCAGATTATTACAGATGTTCCTCTGTTTCCCCCCACCATACCTCCCCTCCACCTAGTTCCCACCCCACTCCAGGCCTTCCCCACTACCCCCCCACCCTCAACTGACCTCATCCATAGGTGTAAGATCTTTGTCCAATCTCTTTCCACACCCCCATAACCCCTTCCTCCTGAAAATTGTCAGTCTGCTCCCTTTCCATTCCCCTGATTCTATTACACTCATCAGTCTGTTCTGTTTATCAGGTTTTTTATTCATTTGATTTTTTAAGTTCACTTGTTGATAGATATGTATTTGTTGTCACTTCGTTGTTCATAGTTTTTTATCTTTACCTTTTTCTTCTTCTTCTTCTCTTCTTAGAGAATACCCTTCAGCATTTCATATAATACTGATTTGGTGATGATAAACTCTCTTAGCTTTTTCTTATCTGTGAAGCTCTTTATTTGACCTTCAATTCTAAATGATAGCTTTGATGGGTAGAGTAATCTTGGTTGTAAGTTCTTGCTATTCATCACTTTGTATATTTCTTGCTACTCCCATCTGGCCTGCATAGTTTCTGTTGAGAAATCTGCTGACAGTCGTATGGGTACTCCCTTGTAGTTAACTGTTTTTCTCTTGCTGCTTTTAATATTCTCTCTTTGTCTTTTGCCCTTGGCATTTTAATTATGATGTGTCTTGATGTGGTCCTCTTTGGATTCCACTTGTTTGTGGTTCTCTGCACTTCCTGGACTTGTAAATCTATTTCTTTTACCAGGTAGGGGGAGTTTTCTGTCATTATTATTATTATTATTATTGTTATTATTTTTTAAAATATATTTTTTATTGATTTTTTACAGAGAAGAAGAGAGAGGGATAGAGGGTTAGAAACATCGATGAGTGAGATGTGCCAACTGGGAATGTGCCTGCAACTAAGGTACATACCCTTGACCAGAATTGAACCTGGGATCTTTCAGTCTGCAGTCTGACACTCTATCCACTGAGCCAAACCGGTTTCAGCTCTGTCATTGTTTTTTTCAAACAGGTTTTCAATATCTTGCTCTCTCTCTTCTTCTGGCACCCCCATAATTCGGATGTTGGTATGCTTGAAGTTGTCCCAGAGGCTCCTTACACTATATTCATTTTTTCTTTTTCTTTTTGCTTTTCCATTTGGGTGTTTTTTGTTTTCTGCTTCTTTGTATTTCAAATCTTTGACTTGATTCTTGAGCTCCTTTAGTCTACTGTTGGATCTCTGTATACTATTTTTTATTTCAGTCAGTTTATGCTTAATTTCTGATTGGTCCTTTTTCATATTCTTGAATGTCTCACTAAGTTCCTCAGAGGTTTCTAGAAGATTCTTGAGTAACCTTATAACCATGGTTTTGAACTCTATATTTCAGTATTTTGCTTTCATCCATTTCTTTCATTGAACTTGTTTCTTTGTCTCTGCATTTTGGCTCCTTCCCTGTGTTTGTTTCTATGTACTGGGTAGCTGCAAAATCTCCTTGAGTTGACAGAGTGGCCTTGTGTGGTAGGTGTTCTAAGTCACCTGAGGTGGACACTCTTGGTGCACCCCTTTGTGGGCTGTGCACACAGTCTTGTTGTTAACCCTTGATTGCTGTTGGTATCACTGGGAGAAATTGACCTCCAGGCCAGTTGGTTGTGAGGACCAGCTGTGTCTACACTGGAAGATCTGTTGTGCAGGAGACACCCTTATGGGGCAGGACTTGCTTCAGTGGGGCTTTGATGCTCACTGAGTCCTCCCTTTTTAAAAAAAAAAAATTGTCTTGATTTTCCAGAGAGGAACTTTCCTTCATTCTATACATTCTGGTGGCACCATCAACAAAGCTTCCCTGCCCCAGCTTATTAAGAGGTAATCATGCCTAAGTTGGACCAATCACATTCTCCCAGGAAGTTGAATTTTAAATAAATTTAAAAAGGAAAAACAGTGGAAATTGAATTATTACAATGGTGATCACTTGAAGAGACTGTCCATTTCTCCCAGATTTCTGTGACTCCTCATCGACATCCATCAGCTGTTAAGCTCCCTACTTGAGTACTTGATCATATATTATCTTGATTTAGACGCTTGCCATGTGCACATTTTGCTTTGCCGGCTAGATACTATTGATGCTCTCTGAAAACAGGCCTGGGTCTTTATTTATTGTATTCATATAATTCAACACAATGTAAGTACTTAGCAACAAATAAAAAATAAACAATTTTAGAAACTCCTTAAGTAACAAATGAAAGACCAATCTTAGAAATTCCATTCTATTAATGTGCAATACACAAGCCGACTTATATACTTTTGAGGCAAGGTGGTAAATAAAATTTGTAATTGCTACAATTAAGAATCTTCTTGGGTATAAACAGTTATCTGAAGGAGAACATACAATGACTTGAACACCTAATAGTATGTAAATAATTTTAGCATCAGTCATAGTTTCCCAATTTTAGAAAAGGAAAGAGAAAGACATTAGTCTTTGAATTTAAAAAAAAAAAAAAAAAAAAAAAAAAGGCTTTGGGAAAACAGACAACGAAACAAAACAACAACAACACACCTTTGTCTTGGGCTTGTGATTTTCCCTGGAAACAAGGTGAGCTGCCTGTCTGCTACCAGATAACACAAGAGGGAGTTAAATTGTGTTTGACTAATATATAAATAGCGTAGGTGATTTTCTCCTCTTCTGAAAAATGGAAGGTCATGGCTCCTCAGAATCATGGCTTATGACAGTAATTAAATTGCATGCTTACAAAATTCAAACAAGCTTGCTCATATTAAGTTTTGAAAACCCAGGCTCTGAATGCACTCTCCCAAACCCCTTACATGTGCTTACAATACACCAAAGAGCTCGCCCACAACAGAATACATATAGTCCCTTCTCCTGATGGTCTTTTCATAAATAAAAAGTTTATAGAAGTCTTTGAGTAGTGTGTTCCTCTGGTTTGCACCTCAACATGGCACAGAGTTCAGCTATGAGAAAGGAGTGAAAATGCTGACATGGAGCTTTTCTTGAGTTAACTATAATGGTTTCTGGAATTTGCCTTGAACCCAGACTCGGTGCATTTTCACTTGTTTTTTCCTATTAACTTGTAAGCGGCGGTCAATCAGATTTTGCTTCTCCTCTAACCCAGCCTTGCAGAACATACTGTGGACTTCCCCTGTGAGACAAAAATAGCAATCAAGAGTGTGACATATGACTGGGGAGAGGGGGGATGGCAGTCAGAAACATGGAACATTAAATTAAATGACTGACCATCTAAATTTCACTTTTACTAACAAATACTCAACACAAAACGATGAAGGGAATGTGAAACTAAGTGGGTTTCTTCCACTTCACCCAAATACACCAAGTATAAACAGGCTAGCACAGCAAGCATAGATGTACATTATTGGTGACAGCTTGCAATATTTTGAAAGGTGCCCCTTGTTTGAGTTTTTATTGGTTTGCAAAAATCCCAAATGATACTTTATAATACTCTTCATATAAGTTTGGGGAAAGTCCCTATGCATAGGATTCGTTTGAAATACTTTTTTTAAAAATATATATTTTATTGATTTTTTACAGAGAGGAAGAGAGAGGCATAGAGAATTAGAAACATCGATGAGAGAGCATCATCAACCAGCTGCCTCTTGCACACCCCCTACTGGGGATGTGCCCGCAACCAAGGTACATGCCCTTGACTGGAATCGAACCCAGGACCTTTCAGTCCCCAAGCCGACGCTCTATCCGTTGAGCCAAACTGGTTTCAGCTGAAATACTTTTTTAAAATGAGAAAGTGACAAGAGCTAAGTAATTTTTCTACGGACTCTTAAAATCATACTCTTGCCTCTGCTGTGGTATAGCATCAAGTTTTTTCATATGTGGACAAACAATACCTCCAAAATGGAACAGACTATTCCTTCGTTGGGTATAAGGATGGGTATAAGGATGGAACATCTGATTATTTAAAGCCGTTAAGGGTATAAGGATGGAACATCTGATTATTTAAAGCCGTTTTGACTGAAGAAAGATTAGAAGGCAAAAAGGCCATTTTCAAACTGTTATGTAGAATAGTACAGTCACCAAAGTACAGACATCCAATGTTTAATCAAACATTAAAGCCTCATTTTTAGAGCTTCTGAATTTTCTCTCTGTAAACAATAACCAAAAATACTTTTTTTTTACAACTAATGATTTATTCTTATAGATAAGTATACCTTTTGTAAAAAAATATACTCGAGTACCGTCTCCTCGAACATAAAAATTTTCAGATAAACAGTGCCCTGAAAAAAGAAAATAATTATGAGAAGAGAAACTTAATATTTCTTAAAAAAAAAAAAAAAAAAACTCTTGACATGAAATATAAACGAGGCATTCTTTAAAACACATGAAAATAATTTGAGACTGAATATACTATTACCCCTTTTAAAACGAAGCTGGGTCTTATCATATCTTCCATAGTCCCGAAATAACAGCATTCCTCCGGGTTTCAGTAACTTGGACAATCGGTTTACAGCACCTTGCATCCTTTGAAAAAAAGCAAGATACGGTTTGCAGAAATCTCTCATATACCACATTTAACTTTCTTAATGATAAAATAATAAAAGCTCGATAAGGCTCAAGAAACCTAAACCACAAAAATAAGGGCAACAAAGACAAAAAATATTTTGTACATAAAGAAAAAAAGGAGAGAAAAGGAAGATGGCTGCCAACAGGAAGGCAGGCTGCAAGATAGTGTGTGAGTGAGAGAACGAAAGGAGAGAGTGAGGGACAGCTACACTGAGTGGCCAGATTATTATGATCTCTGAACCCATAATAATCTGGCCACTCAGTGTATTTCCTGTATAATAGAAGTCTAATATGCAAATTGTCCCCTTGAACAGGAGTTCGACCAGCAGGCAGGCCAGCCAACTGCTCATGTCCCTTCCCCCTGGCCAGGCTGGCTGGACCCCACCCATGTGTGAATTCATGCACCAGGCCTCCAATACACACACACACACACACACACACACACACACACACACACAAACACTGAGTACCAGATTATTATGTGTTCAGAGGTCATAATAATCTGGCCACTCAGTGTATATTCCAAGGGACTGTTTGAGACTGCTGGACTGGGTTCCCTTGACTGGGCAGCCTCCACGACTGCTGAAATCTCTCCCAGAGCAACTGGCTCTCCTGAAGAGACTGTGCCATCTTGAAGGGGAGAATGGCTGTGATCGGAAGCCTAGCCTTAACTTTAATTGGTAAGAATTGGAGGTATCCTGGGATCCTACAACCACTACACCCAGAGACCAGCTGCGAACCCACACACACCGGGTCTCGAGCAGCACCATACATGGACTGGGACGAGCTCTGCACCTCCTCAAGGAAAGGTCAGGTTTTGCCCAGAGAAAGGTGAGGTCTGCGATCCAGGCTGGAGGGAGAAATGTGGGCAGTGGGATCTAGAGGTTCAGAGGAAGTCTGGGCCCCACAAAATCTGCAGACGTTAGGGCCAGCATAGTCTGCAAATGTGGAAGGGAGTCCACAGGACTGCTGACAGAAGGGAACTCTAGAAATCAACTCATAACTGGGATGGGCCAAAAGGGCAGCCTGAAGCTTTACCAGTAAACCGGCTGCGCTGTGCCAGGGGGAAAAGATGTGCACAGAGACGTGAACAGTCATGTGCAGTGCCGGGGCAAAAAAGGCGTGAGTTTGCGCACTTACTCTGGCTCTTTTTTTCTCTTTAAATTCTTGCTTTTGATTACTAAGCCCAGTACATAAGATCACCCAATTAAAAATACTCTCAGAGACTGCAGGGGAAAGTTGTTTTTGTGGAACCTGGGGATCAGAGTGGGGAGAAACATTCAGAAAACCAGTGCTGGGCAGTCCATCCCCCCAAGCCAGTATGAAGCGCAGCAAATTCTAAATACTGGGTAGAGAGGACTTATAGCTCTGGATATCAATACAGGAATACTGCCACCCAGGAGTTGAATCACAAACTGATTCTTGTGTAAATACAACCACAGGCAGGCTGAGTAACAAAGAAATACTGCCACAATCAAAACAAGATTGTGGCTTACAACACAGAGGAGCTGTGGAATGCAGGGAACTTCAACACTGTCCTGGCTACCTGACAGGAAACAGGCATGTCAAACAATAAGTAGAGGAAGTGAATGACCTTCACTACTGCACATTTTTATTTTTTATCTTTTACTTAAGAAACTATTTTTTTTAAATTTTTTTCTCACTTGATTTTACCTTTTTACTTATTATATATATATTTTTAATATATTTTATTGATTTTATACAGAGAGGAAGGGAGAGAGATAGAGAGTTAGAAACATCGATGAGAGAGAGTCATCAATCAACTGCCTCTTGCACACCCCCTACTGGAGATATGCCCGCAACCAAGGTACATGCCCTTGACCGGAATCGAACCCGGGATCCTTCAGTCCCCAAGCCGACGCTCTATCCATTGAGCCAAACCGGTCTCGGCTATATTTTTATTTTTAATAAGCATTATTACTACTACTATTTTACATTTTTTAAAGTTTCATTTTATTTTTCTCTTTATTTTATTTTGAGATTAGTGTTCTACATTCTCTTTTCATTTTTCCTTTAGCATCATTTTACTCTATCACAACTTTACCTTTATGCCAACACTCTCTTCCTCACTTTTCCCCTTTTGTTGTCCTGTTTCTCTTACCCTTTTCCTGCTTTATATTTTCCATATTTCTTCTTTTCACACCCTGTTAAAAATTAATCCTACTTATATATCTAATTTCCAATCCCCTACTCTAAGTCCATACACACATCTCTCTTTTCTCTCTTCACTATCCAAATTTTTTTCTCTCTTTCCTTTTTTGATTGTTTTTTATTTATGTTGTTTTATTTTGTTTTGTTTTGCCATTCTTTCTCTCTGTCCTATTGTTGTTAGTTTGATTGTTGATTAGATTGATTTTTTTGTTTGTGTGATTGTTTCTCTCTCTCTCTTTTTTTTTGCTTCTGTTTTTCTACTCCTTACGTGTTATTAGTTGTGGTTTATAGTTTGCATTCATATCTGGGTGTTAGTTGTTTGCATTTTTTTGGATTAATTGTTCTATTGGAGTTTTCTCCCAATATAGTTTTCTCCCTTCTTTTTCTTTTCTCTCTTACATTTCTTCCTTTTCTCAATATCATTTTTGCACTCTTTTTTTTTAAGTCCCCTAATTCTCTTTTCTCTGGCGGTCACATTTATTTGGGGTTATTAGTATCATGAATACATTTGTGTTCAGTGCCTTGTACATTGTGCCTTGTTGTGTTGTATTTTGTGCCTTTAAGTCAGTGCAGGAGAGAGAGAGCTACATAACCAGAAACCTAAAGAGACCATGGCGAGACAAAGAAACAGCCAGCATACGAAAGAAAAAGAGGCATCACCAGAAAAGGAAGTTAACAAAATGGAGGCAAGCAATATGTCAGAGAAAGAATTCAGAGAAATGGTCATAAGGTCGCTGAAAAGGTTGGAAGGCAAATTCAACAATATGTGTAAGAACCAAGAGGAAATGAAGAACCAAGAAATGAAAAATGACATCACTGCAATAAAGAACTCAATAGAAAGCATCAACAGTAGACAAAAAGAAGCAGAAGACCACCTCAGTGATCTAGAAGGTAGGAAAAAATATCCAAGCAAAGCAGCATCTAGAAAAAAAAAAAAAAAGCTTAAAAGAGCAAGAGGAGAGCCAAAGGGAACTTTAGGATAACATGAAACAAAACAACATCTGCATAATAGGGGTTCCGGGAGAGGAAACTGAGCAAAGAATAGAAAACCTGTTTGAAGAAATAATGACAGAAAACTTCCCTGATATAGGGAAGAAAAAACTCACACAAGTCCAATAAGCTCACAGAGTCCCAAACAAAATCAACCCCAGAAGACTGATGCCAAGACACATTATAGTTAAATTAGAGGCCGGTGCACGAAATTCATGCATGGGAAGGGGTGTCCTCAGCCCAGCCTGCACCCTCTCCATTCTGGGACCACTCAAGGAATGTCTGACTGCCTGTTTAGGCCCGATCCCACTGGTGGGTTCGGGCCTATTCCGGTAGTCGGACATCCCTCTCATAATCCAGGACTGCTGGCTCCTAAGCGCTGGCCTGCCTATCTTCCTGACTGCTCCTGACTGCTTCTGTCTGCCAGTCTGATCACCCCCCAACCACTCCCCTGCCAGCCTGATTGATGTCTAACTGCTCCCCTGCCAGTCTGTTTGCCTCTAATTTCCCTCCTCTACCAGCCTGATCACCCCTAACTGCCCTCCCTTGTAGTGTTGATTGCCCCTTTCTGCCCTCCCTTGCAGGCATGGCCCCTCCCATCTTCCCTCCCCTGCTGGCCATCTTGTGGTGGCCATGTTGTGTCCACATGGGAGCAGCCATCTTTGACCACATAGGGGAAGCCATCTTGTGTGTTGGAGTGATGGTCAATCTGCATATTTCTCTTTTATTGGATAGAATAGAGGCCTAGTACATGGTTGGGGGCCAGCTGGTTTGCCCTGAAGGGTCCAGATCAGGGTGAGGGTTCCCTTGGGGTATGGGGTGGCCTGGGCAAGGGGCCTGTGGTGGTTTGCAAGCCGGCCACGCCCCCCGGCAACCCAAGTGGAGGCTCTGGTATCTGGGGTTTATTTACCTTCTATAATTGAAACTTTGTAGCCTTGAGTGGAGGCCTGGTCCCACCAGGGCAGGCAGAAAGCTTGGTTGGCTTCCTCCATTGCCCTGGAAACCCAAGCCTTCCTCCTGCTCTCTGTGCCCGTAGCCATCTTGGTTGGGTTAATTTGCATACTTGCTCTGATTGGCTGATGGGCATAGCTGGTGGGTGTGGCTTGTGGGTGTAGCAGAATGATGGTTAATTTGCATATTACTCTTTTATTAGCTAGGATTGGCAAACACCAACAACAAAGTAAGAATCTTAAAAGCAGCCAGAGAGAGACAGAAAGTTACCTACAAAGGATCCCTCATCAGATTATCGACTAATTTCTCAACAGAAACACATCAGGCCAGAAGGGAATAGAATGAAATATACAAAGTCATCCAAAGGAAGGGTCTGAATCCAAGAATACTGTACCCAGCAATCAAAATTGTGGGTGAATCAGGAGCTTCACAGACAAAAAAGGACCAAGGGAGTTTATCACCACCAAACCAGCAATGCAAGAAATATTAAAAGGTCTGCTATAAAAAGAACAAATAGAAAGTGAAGAAGGAACACAGGCATAAAAAATAAAAATGGCGATAAAGAAGTACCTATCAACAATAATTTTAAATGTAAATGCCCCAATCAAAAAACATAGGGTAGCTATTGGGATAAGAAAACATGACCCATATATCTGATGTCTACAGGAAATACACCTCAGAAAAAAGGACTCACGCAGACTGAGTGAAGGGATGGAAAAAGGTTTTTCAGTGAATGAAAATGAAAAAAAAAAAAAAAGCTGGGGTAGTAATACTTATATCTGACAAATTAGATCTTCAAAGTGAAGGGCATTACAAGAGATAAGAAGGGCCACTTCATAATACTA